TCAGGTCATGATCTGACAGTTCGTGAATTTGAGCCCCACGTCGGGCTCTGCTCTGGCAGCACAGAGCCTGCTTTGGATCCTCTGTTTTACTCTCTCTGTCTTTGCACCTCCCCTGTGCTCTCACTCTCTCTCAAAAATAAACAAACATTAAAAAAATAGGATATCCATGCCAATATTATTTAATGCCATATATTCTATATAAAACATGATGAGATATACAGGCGTCAGTAAGTTCTTAGTTTTGTGAATAATAATGTAGTCATCTTAATGTTGTATCCAACTAGGTATTCACTCAACCAACATTTAAACACTTGCTCAGAGCCAGGCACTTTGCTAGATACTGAGAATACAGACATGATCCCTGCCTTAAGGAACTTGCACCTCTGTTGGGAGATTAGAAATGGCAGTAGGTACAGAAGTATGATATGGACCACCATGGAAACCTGTACAAGGTAGAGAGTAAATGGGCAAAACCAGTAACTGGGCAAGGAAACGGCAGAACAAAGCATTTCTAGAAAGGTTTGGAGGAGTTAAGTATCGACTTGAACTGTACCACACAAATCATTATGGCTGGACCACAGGAAATATGAGGGTCAGGCAACAGAGATGAGCCAGACGGGTCATTTTAAGATACATCATGGATGGCCTTCATACCATGCAAAGGCTTTTCAAGTTTGTTGTGATGATCCGCTAAAGGTTTACAGTCTTTAGGAAGGAAATTACTAGTTTTCTATATTTGCAAGCCCCTCTGTTTGAGATTTTAAGAAGATACACTGACAGAGGGAAAATTAGGATCCTGAAGACCAGTAAAGTGATTATTGCACTAGACAAGGCAGCAGACAAGAAGACGGGAGGTGGGGCAACAGCAGTGACAATAAAGAGAGGAAGGGATGTGTTAAGATGGATATTAAGGATACAAAATATATAGGTCTTGATTACTATTTGGATGTAAGAAGTAAAGGCCAAGACTGTAGTACAATCACCAGCTTCAGATATAGTGACCTGGTGGACAGTCTCTGCTTACACTCCATGGTGGGAATACGAGAGAAGCACGCTTATTTCACAAGTTAATGAATTCAATGCTTAGCAAGTGTATTAAAAAAAGAGAGCTCTTGCTAGAAATACATTTCAGTCAACTGATACTTAATCTTAGAATCATTATAACATTTAATAACAACATTGAGTATTGATTCTCCTCTGTGCTTCTTCATTTTAACAAACTAACCATGACTTAATAGCACACACCTAATATCTAAATGTATAATAAAGTAGCATCTGGATTGATGAGGTAGAGTACTCTCATTTGTAGATGTACTAATTTCTTAGGTGCGTGTGTGTTTTGGACTTGGACTAGTTAAAAATAATGATAGTGATTAACAACACCTATCAAGATGTAGAAGAGCCTATGGCTCTTTGCATTATTTTTAAACCTTTTTATTTTTGAGAGACAGAGAGAGAGCACGAGCAGAAGATGAGCAGAGAGAGAGGGAGACACACAATCCGAAGCAGGCTCCAGGCTCTGAACTGTCAGCGCAGAGCCTGACGTGGGGCTCAAACCCATCAACTGTGAGATCAAGACCTGAGCCAAAGTCAGATGCTTAACTGACTAAGCCACACAGGAGCGCCTGTGTTTCTTTATTAGTAGCCCATATAAATTAAAGGTTACGCACTATAGTCTAGCTACATTGCAATGTAAAGTTGTCCAGCTTTCGATGTGTATTATAAGCACATTGAATATTTTCAGTGTTGATTCATTTTTCCCTGCAATGAATATTCATAGTTTTGCTCAGTCTCTTGACTTATTCATAGTGTAACTGAGTTTTTCAAAATTCTAATTCTAAAAAACATAATTCATCTAAGATGTGGAGTAATGTGTTTGTCATTTGCAAGATTTTCCTACCTAAAATAATCTCTACATGTCTAGGTATTAAAAGATGCTGATATACTGCTGGTAGGTTGGATGAATGTATGAATGGATGGATAGGCAGATAACAGTTTGTGGTAATGTAAATTGAGGGGTGGCAGTATTATACTGTATGGAGGTTAAGGGCTCTTGTTCTATTGTCTAATGACTAGATGACTGTGCCACATGTCCCCAAATCCTCTGTGCCTCAATTTCCTTATTGATAAGACTGAAAAAAATAATAGTGCTTCTCTCATAGAGTTTTTGTAATGATTAAATGAGAGGATGCATACAAAAGACTTAGCAGCGTGCTTGACACTCCAAAAATGCTGGCGAGGAGGAGGAAGAAAAAGGAGAGTTGTTAAGTGGAGATCCAATAAATTCAGATATGGGTGTATGTTTTAATTTGCTTACAATGACTTATATGGTTTGAGTGAGAATAGTTCATCCTTAATGTTCAACATCCTTTTTTAGGTGACATTTGGCAAAAGGATCTGAATTGTATGATCTATAGTACCTTGAGCTCTTTGATTGAATCTCTAGGAATAAATAAAGCTCCTTTCAGTGTTCTAATGAAAACATCATTAAGATAATATTAGTCTCCTAAATAAGACATTTAACTTTAAATATGATTATCATTCCCACTTTAATAGGAAATCTTTTTGCATATAGATAAGCCAGGAAAAAACGACTTAACCACAAAAAATACTAAACCAAATTAACTAGAATAGAAAAAAAAAAAAAAACAGTGTTGTATTTTCTTCTGCATTTAGAATTTTTTCCTACCCCACTTTCACGTGTCTGTAGTTTTCCAGCCTCTGACAAATTTCAGAATCCATTATAGCAGCATTCATGCCACTGTGGAAAGCATCCCGTACTTTGCCCAAGTTTTAAAACACTGTTTAGCTTTTGGGGTGTTTTTGCCCCAAGGAAGATGATGTGGGAAATTGGCATATTTAGCTGAGTATTTTACAAGACATTACTATTAAAGCTGCTAGTTATTAGATTTCGTATACAGGCACATCCGTCTATTCAGATCCGTAAAAGTGAATGGGAGCCCTGAAAACCCTTTCCCCATCTGTCCCCTCTGCTGCTCTAATCCCAGTCCCCAGTCATCATCACTGCCATCCTTTACCTGGTCTGTTGCAGCAAAGCACTGAGCACTAGCCACCTTCTGTGCTTCACCCTTGGTCACCTACTCCATTTTCCACACAGCAGCTGGGAGATTCTATGGTGTCACTGTTCTGCTTAATAATAATAAAAATAATGAGGGGCACCCGGGTGGCTCAGTTGGTTAAGTGTCCGACTTCCGCTCCCGTCACGATCTCGCAGTTCGTGAGTTTGAACCCCACATCGGGCTCTGTGCTGACAGCTCAGAGCCTGGAGCTGCTTCAGATTCTGTGTCTCCCTCTCTCTCTCTGCCCCTCCCCCGCTGATGCTCTGTCTCTCTCAAAAGTAAGAACATGAAAAAAATAATAATGATGCTTCCCTGTGGATCCATGTCCTACCGTCTAGACATCATCTTGGACTATTCTCCCCCTACTCCTGCCACACTGGCTTTCTCATCCTTCTAGAAATGCACCCTCTTATTCCTTGCCTAGAACTTTCATACTAGCTCCTCCCTCTACCTGGAGACCTTCCCTCCAAATCTTTTGTGAATGGCACCCTGTCATTTAGGCTCAATTCAAAGACTATCTCTTCAGAAATACCTTTCCCAACCATGGTGTATATTTTGAAATGAATATATTTTCACTTTGAGAGCCAAAAAAAAAAAATCACAACTGGGTTTTAGATATGTTCACTTGAGAAACAAATATATACCATCATCTAAAAAATTTCAAATTATTTGTCGAATATTACTTAATATTCCTTAGTATTTTCCCATAGATTCTCTCTTCTTTCATGATGCAGCTTAGACACATACTGGCTGCCTTAGTCCATGCAGGCTGTTATAACAGAGTACCAGATATTGGGTGGCTTATAAACAACAGAAATGTATTTCTCACAGTTTTGGGGGCTAGGAAGTCCAATATTAGAGTGCCTGCAGGTTCAGCGTCTGGTGAGAACTTGCTTCCTAGATGGCCATCTTCGAGCTATGTCCTCACATGCCAAAACAGTCTAAGGATTTCTCTGGGATCTCTTTTATGAGGGTACTAATCATGTTCATGAGGACTCTGCCCTCATGACGGAATCAGCCCCTCAAGGCTCCACCTCCTAATACGATCACATTGGAAGTTAGGATTTCAACCTATGGATTTGTCAGGGCAGTGGATGGGTGGGACACAAGCAGTGTATAGAGACCACTGAACGTCTTCTAATGAAATTATGTCCTGTGCATAGAAAGCATCCACCTTCTGGTATAGGGAGGTGCACCTTACCTTCTACCTACCTACCAAACACTCCTGTCTCAGTAGCACAAATCCTAAACTTCTACAAATGCTTTTAGGTAGGGTAAAAAAAAAAAAAAAAACAGTAGCTTTCATTAAAGACAAATGGACACCTGAAAAATGCATGGGATGTGCTGTTTTCAAAGACACATGTGGGAAATTGGATGACTAACAAGAAAATCCACAAATAACTGAAAAGTTCATGAATCAGATTAGACATTCCCAAGGCCACAGTTACTGTCCTGGTGAATTAAATAAGTGTATCTCTTAGAAGTAATCAAGCTTAGCTCTTAGAGTTACATAGGTTTAACTCTTTGTGATACACAGTCTATCACAGGGATTGTAACTCTCTTTATTGCTATATTTACATGTGTCAAGACCTTCAGGGTATCCAACGGCTCCCTTGAATCTCTACCAAGTCGTCATATGCCTCATGTGTTAAACTTCTTAGAAGTAAAAACATACCACCTGCCAGGAACATTTTATAGAGATATAATCTATTTGCGGTTTTGACAGCCATATATGGGAGGTTAATTATACTTCTTGATTAGCTTTCATGATATATTCAATATGAGGAGCAAGATCCATTATCATCTATATATTATCAGTTCTTCTGTGTCAGACTCTTTCAGGAAACATTTTTTCACCCCTATTCCCCAAGTGCCTGATATGATCCCTCTGACAAACATATTTCTGCTTGACTATTTCAGTGCTTTTATGTAATGGAAAATTTCACAAACACTTGCAAGAAATCTTTGTGCCCTTGGTTGTCCGCTACGTCGATCTCATGGAGTCCTCCATCGCCCAGTCAATTCACAGAGGTTTTGAGCAAGAGACATGGCAGCCTGTCAAGTAGGTATCTTGCCTAGTATCCTTCGAACATCTGTCTCTTCAATCCTGACCTTATGACTTTACACACGGCCATCTGTAGTTATTGCTTATGGTGGTCCCTTCCCACGTTGTTTGTTTCTTTACAGGAATATCGCCAACAGTCTTCCCAATGTAGCTCTTCCAAAAGTTCCAAGTCTGCCTCTTAATCTTCCACAGATTCCTAGCTTTTCTACTCCTTCGTGGATGGCTTCTTTATATGAGTCCACGTGTGTATTCCTCACTTATTTCCTGGTGGTGTGTTAGCTAGTGCATGGCCTGGGCTGTGTTCTGCGCACATGTGTTTAGATTGCATGGCGTTTATCATCGTTGGTTGAGGGACACTATGTTTTGATTTTGTTTGAGTGTTTTATTTATTTTTTTTTTAATGTTTTATTTATTTCTAGGAGAGAGAGAGAGACAGCGTGAGCAGGGGAGGGTCAGAGAGAGAGGGAGTCACAGACTGAAACAGGCTCCAGGCTCTGAGCTGGCAGTCAGCACAGAGCCGACGCGGGACTCGAACCCACGAACCGCGAGATCATGACCTAAGCGAAAGTCGGACGCTCAACCGACTAAGCCACCTAGGCGCCCCATTGTTTGAGTGTTTTAAGCTATTAAGCTAAGCTTAGCATATCGATGATAAATGATACAGATGTTTTTTTGGTTTTTTTGTTTTTGTAACACTCACTGGTTTGATGTAGCCCGTATGTAATCTGTTGGTCCGAGGTCATTTTGTGACCCAGGTTGTAGACGCTAGCCTAAAGGATAGAGTTCAGGCAATCAGTGTGGTGCCAGTATGTCTAGGAACCTTAGTTGGCTCCAGCTTTGTTACTACCCACACAGGTTCTCTTGCACATGTAGAAAACCATTATCAGAACAGTTTCAAGAATATAATCCTTTCCTCTTTTGTCTTAGTCTCACTTTTAAAGAAATAATATTGCAAGCTGCAGAGAAGTGAGTGTCCTTTATTTCCTGATACGAGCAGTTTCTTCTTTTGTCTGTTCATGTATCAGTTGATGTCCCCTGTTATTTTTAAAATAATCTTTATATCATTAAAAACTGTATTAACTCAACCTTAAGATAAACCTACCTATTGCAGAGTCACAAACTAAAAGTCATTAAAACAAAAAGTACACAGGCTTTGAATTGAGCAGCCCTGAATTTAGACCCTAGCTTATTATTCATTAAGTTCTTTCTTAGCCTCAGTTTCCTCAGTTCTGAAATGGTTATGGTACCTAATTGAAAGACATTTTTGTGAGAAGAAAAAAAGGAAAAAACTGTGAAAAGTGGCACATCCTAGGCTCTCAGTCAATAATCAGTCCTATTCTACATTATGATTTTTATTGTAAGTATTACTGTCATCAATCATCATTATTCATAACTGTATAGTTTTCAAAAATATGAGCCTCATAGCAATCAGATGAACTCAATAATAGTCCATGTTTTGCCCAAGATCTTCTATGAAGTTAGCTAGAAAGAATATTAGAGGAAGAAAAATAGCTGCCATTTAATGAGCATTTATTATGTCCCAGGTAGAGCACCAAATTTTTTATCTCACGTAAGCCTTATAATAACCCTGTGAGGTAAATGTCACTGTCCCTATTTTACAGTTAAGGAAACAAAGTCCTAAAGAAGGTAAGAAACAGAACTTGCCCAAGGTCTCACAGTAAGTGAGAGATAGAATCGAGTTTCGAACTCAGGTCTGCCTGACTGCAAAGCGCTCACTCCTCTCATTCACGTATGAGGCTTCCTGAGAGTATATTAGCTAAGAACTGGTCCAACATCCTGTGTGCCAGTCCTCCCACCGCTGTTAAACCTGCTGCCAGTGAAGGCTGCATACAGTCAAGAAAAGAAAGACCAAGAAAGAGAAGAATAACTTGCCAGACAGCTCAGCAATACTTCTCCAAGTTAAACATCATCACTATGCCCCACGCTTATTATTAGGATATTACATGACATGTGAATCCTTTTCTTTCAGGCAAATGCTTTGGGCCGTTACTGTGTAGAGTGGTGTCTGTGTGTGCTTGGCAATGATCTAGGAAGTATGATGAATCTTTGTGCATTTATGTTTTTTGTGCTTCTTTGTACTGTTGTGTAATTTCACTTCTCCTCTTCCTCATTCCTCATCTGTTTACCACCCTTGATTTTAACCAAGAACACCATTGTGGGCATTACCTTGTGAAATTTAGATTTTTTTTTTTTTGTCATTATTATTTTATTAGCTTTGAGATCTCTCTGAAACCTGACTCTCCTTATTGGGAGCCCCTTTGTAAAATGACCTGCATCTCAGGACATGAATCAGGACAAACCGTGGCTTTGTAAATACAGTGCTCATACTTTAATCATTCTGGGTAAATAAAAAAATATGTTTTACACATTAGTCACCATTATATTTTCCTGCTAGGATTATCAACATTAGGCCCTTGAGCAAGGCACTCAGAATTACTTATTTATGTTATGATGTTGTCACAACTAGTTTATTTTTTGATTTGCCGGGTGGGGGAGGGGATTATTAACGATTTTATTTTTATTTTTTTAAGTAATCTCTACTCCCAATGTGGGACTTGAACCCACAGCCCTGAGATCAAGAGTGGCATGCTCCACTGACTGAGACAGCCAGGTGCCCAGTTATTAAAATTTTTGTTACAAAGCACTAAATACCCCCAAATAATTCCATTACATATATGTCAAGAATTAAAAGTACAATACAACTATGGCTTGTACATCCTCATCTACTAATGTATGTATGTATCACCTGGGGTGTTCTTTTTTTAGCTCTAAAAGTAGATGCCAATTAGATAAGTTTCCTACTGGTGGTTTTAGGAAATTTTCTCAGAATCCTTTATTCACATTTGAATTCTTTAATCTGTTAATAATACTTTCGGAATAGGTCACTGATTAGAAATAATTTTAAAATGAAAAAGTTCTGAGTAAATTGCAGGTTATATATTTCAGCTCAATGGAAAACCAATTTACATTTTTTATCTAATTATAACAAATACTTGTTACCATAATTACATTCCTACTAAGTACATTTATTATTCTAGAGTCTTACCATAGCATCAAAGAACAGAACATCTATCCATACAAAACTTTTTTATAATGTTATGAGAAAGTCCATTTTCAATAGAATTCCACCTTCACTATTTCAGATTTTGTTTTAATGATGGCTTTTATTGTTTTGTTATGTTGGTAAGTATACATTCATGTTTCAAATAGCTACTTACATTTCTCCAAAGTAAAAAATGATTAGTAGTAGATTTGCTTCTTTAACCAATTATATTCAATTATTTTTAAAATCTAGATCCTCTAAGCTACTGCACTGTATACTATGGATATATAAGAGGATTTTGCCTGGTCATTTTTTCCTCTTATGTTTATTATAAACACAGCAAAAGGGAGAACTAAGTATGGTGTTTTTTCTAACATTTTTCACATCAACATCAACATGGTGTTGTCTGGTTCTTCTGATGAATGGTATTTTGGGGGCACTGATTTTTAAGGTGTTAAGAGATAGTGAGTAAAGAGCTGTGGCTGGCGTTTTGTGTTTTGCTGAAAATCGCCCTTTGAGAATTTAACCTTGAGCACATGTTGGTTAGGCAAGGAGACGATGAGGAATTACAGGCAAATTGGGAGAAGGAACACAAAGTAGGCTGGTAATGCAGGGAAGGTGCTGAGGTGGAGGGAGTGGAGGCAAATAAGTTTTTAATTAGCCAGAGAAGGTGATTTTTTAAGCCAACTAATTAAGATATATTTAGCTAGAGAAAGTGGATATTTATAAGAATTTTATTTTTATAGGGGCACCTGGGTGGCTAAGTCGGTTAAGTGTCCGACTTCGGCTCAGATTATGATCTCAAGGTTTGTGAGTTCAAGCCCTGTGTCCAGCTCTGTGCTGACAGCTTGGAGCCTGGAGCCAGCTTCAGATTCTGTCTCCCTCTCTCTCTCTGCCCCTGACCCACTCACACTCTCTCTCTCTCTTTCAAAAATAAACATTTTTTTACAAATTAAAAGAATTTTATTTTCATAAACATTTTCTACTGTGTTCTTGTGATAAATTATTTTATTTCTCTGATTTTCTTTTGCACACTCAAAATAGAACTTTTATTTTGTTAATATATGTTAATATATTTTTTTCTCCTTTTATTCTTAAGTTTCAATGTGTTTTAATACAGAAGTAGTTTACTTTCAAAGCATCTGTTTCCTTCTTAGGCTATACTTGCATAAAGGAAAGGAGTACTATCATCCTTTGCCCAAATGTTATATGTATTTGTTACAAACTACCTTCACACATGGGATGAAGTTCTAGTCCTCCGCAGTAATTTTACCACAGCAGTGAACGCAGAGCTAGGTTAGGCTCTACGGTTAGATAGATAGATGGAACCATCTGAAATACAGGATTTGGATCCCACTTCAGAGCACCCTGAATGTCATTTCTCTGTCGTATATATACCTTGTACTGTTAGGTTTAATTATGAGCTAGAAAAGTCAAAAAGCATTTCACTATGGGCATGAGATTGGCTTCCCTTCCCAGCCTGATATTCCACTGGAAGTACCTGTTTCACCTCTACCTGTAATTGAGAACTTTAAGGATGCTGTCCACTACATCCCTGTCTGTAGACACACAGAAGCCATGATGACGACGAGGACACGTACATATGCCTGAGTAGAAGAGTAAAGCTTCCAGTTACCGTCATATGGGTTTTCTTAAGTAAAACATACTTTCCTGAATTTCTAGGAGGAAACATTTATGAATTTTATCTTTATTTTCAAGATTGATAAAAAGCATTTAAAATGTTCATCCATGTACAATTTGATTTCTTATCCATGCTACCCCTTTCTATGAAACTTCACTACTATATTCATTTCTATTTCTTTTCGGGTTTTTTGCCTCGCCTTATTAAGAAGAAGTAAAAAGGAAGAGATTTAGAAGGTTGAATAAAGAAGATATCCATGATTAAGGATTTTAGTGCTTTTTTTTTTTTTTTACTAATAGCTTTTGACACAGAAAAGCAAAAAGCAATGCCTTGTTGATCCTCATAGCTAACCGTGGCCATTCATGATGCTCTTCATTTCTCCTTTTTCTTCTAGCAATGGCTCAGCAACATCAGAAGACCTTTTTTGGAAACTGGATGCACTGCAAATGTTTGTCTTTGATCTACACTGGCCAGAACAAGAATTTGCCCACCACTTAGAGCAAAGACTTAAACTAATGGCCAGTGATATGATAGAGGCCTGTGTCAAAAGGTAGACCTGTGTTTTCTAGTTGCTGCTTAGTATGTCAGCAGCCAAAGTGGCACTTTTCACCAAGCACCTGTTACATAATCGTCACAGGAAGGTTCCGATATGTACTACGGTTACAAAAGTTAATGGACATGAGGTTCTCAGACCTAAATTCTGGGGACCCCCGTAACTGACAAAATTGGCCTGAAACTTTTTGTTTAGGCCTCCTTACCATTGCCCTCATCAGTGGCATCCATACTATATTAATCATTTCTGTTGTGCTTATTGTTGTCTCCCTGGGAATACTGTGCTTTAAATTCCCAAGGCAGTACTTCCGGAGACATACGGAAAAGGCCTGCTAAGTACTTTATGCGTTATGCACTATGTCTGTACGCTATGAAATGGCATGGCAAACTCAAATTTTGCCCGGGCCCATTGATTCTTCTGTCTTCTGGTAGTCTCTGTCCACATCAAATGAGTTCCAAGTGTCCATTTATATTCTCCAGAACTTAACCAGAAATAAGTTATAAGGCTTTGGATTCTTCCAGGTGTGCTTTCATTTTTTTTTTCTCTTTTTTACATTTCCTACAAAATCAGCGTCATATCTCTAATTAGCAAAGCGTTGTTCTTCCCATTGCCCTTGTTCATGACAGTACAAGGACAGTGTAGGCAGCATATTGGAGTAAACCCTGGCTGGAGAAATTGAACAATCCTGAATTCTTCAAAGTAAGAGCAACCGTGCCTTTAGAATAAGGTTCAGGGGCTTTCTAAGGCAAGGCCATAAATTCGATTATTTAATGTTTAAAAAATCATGTTTGTCATATGTGATTCTCAGGCCTCAAATCTATGAAGGTTCTCTGGATACTTTAGCAAAAAAAAAATTCCAAATAGCCTGTTCCACAGTTTCTTTCAAACAACTATCTACAACTTTGGGTATTTGAAAGAAAGCCTAAGTGATAAGAAAAGATTTCTGCATTCTCCATTGTACATTAATTATGGTGTTTTAGAGTTTTCCAGACTTGTACTCTTTCTGATTTGGTAAACCCTCATGCCGAGGATTTGTTCTACTTTAATCCAGAGAAGGAAGTGACTTTTATACTCGAAAATTAATCCAGACGGTTAAGTAAAACTAAGAGGTCTTTCCATTAAGAGTTATACATGAAATGTAGCAAATAGCTTCATTGAGGTAGAGATACTCTCTGCATGGCTGCAAAGGCTCTGTATGATATAAAAATATCTCCGTGATCTCTCCTGTGAGACACCTGCAAAAGAAGAGCGTCCCATCCCCTAGCTCCCGAGTAGTGCGATACTCCGTATTTGCATGTTTTAAATTAGCATCTTGTGTGGATTTCACTTTTACTGAACACGTGAGACATATTTCCAAATTACTTACTATGAATTCATGTTTTAATGACTAGAACCAGAGCTGCATTTGAACTCAAGCTGCAAAAGGCAAGCAAAACAACTGACTTGCGCATCCCAGCTTCTGTGTGTACAATGTTTAATGTATTAGTCGATGCCAGAAAGCAAAGTGCCAAACTTTGTGCCCTGGATGGAGGACAAGAGGTAAGCGAACCGTGTGACATGTGGATATGCAGCATGGGATACTGGAGGCTCTTACCAGAAGTTTCTGGCTTGTTTAGATTCAGAGACAAAGTTCTCCAATAGAAGTGTTTGATCTTTTCTTTACTATAATAATGGAAGGCCCTTTATTCTTTGTTCATGTCAGTTTCTTCTTTTATATATGAAGACTGCCTAAGATTTTACAAGTGGCTGTTGAATTTCAGATATACCTTTTAACAGCTTAGGTGTTGTATATTTACATAAAGCTTGCTTTTCACAAGCAAATAAGAAAGCTAGAAAGCTACCTGCTTTGTTTATACAAATCTAGAGTATCCTGAGTTTGCATTCAAAAAACTAGGCACAGAAATAGCATACGAAATAATTTATTTATGCAAAAGTTTCCTTATTTCTTTTCAAAGATCGAGTAGAAATGTACTTTAAAATTTAGGCTTCTTTTTTTTCCCTTTGGTTTTAATAAATATCCCATTGTTTCACTTCGATTCATGTTTTGTTGGGTTCTATGTTCAAAAACACAACTTGTTTACCCCCTGATTTATTTTTGTTGAGAGTGGCGATTAGATGAAAATGGATCTATTTTTCTAAGATTATCTGTTTAAGTTGACATTTTGTTGCCTCTTTTCTCATTGTAATTACTTTTCATCATTTTTTACTCTTCCCCTATGTTCTCCTTCATCATCTTTTTTTTTCCCCTCCATGGCATGATCCAGTTTGGTAGTCAATGGGTAAGTCTCATTTTTTTGTTGTTGTTAAAGCGCACTTTTATTTGATTATTATTTTTGTAAATGTACCTTTTTTAATTTTCATCTTTCCACGTTAAAATAATATAATTAATTCCATTTTCATGTTTATGGTTTTTGTATATGTGTATAACTAACAGCTTACCATAACTTAGCAATACTCAGAGACACATTAAAGCACATGTAAATACTTAAACCTTAAATAATGTCTAGGGAAATGTTTCTTCCCTGTTCAGCTGCCGAATCTACAAACTGCTCTAAGATTTTTAAAGATAAAATTAGTTAACACGAAATGAATTCACCTTCCTTTAAACAAAACTCTAAATAAATTCAGAAGCAGAGCGATTACAAATATTTTAAAGGTGCATATATCTGTAGTATATACTTCCACTAATACCAGAAAAATTTGGAGTTCGGGGCTTTGGCTGACATACAGTATATGTCAGAGTACCTCTAAATTTGAGGACCAGGAGGCCATTCCTAAGGTCACGTCATGCAGAAGAACCCAGCTGTGGATTTCAATAAGGTACATGCCCACCAGTGATACCATCTTTCCATGGCCTACGAAGTAACCATCCTCAGAGGCAGGTAGGAGGCCGGCCTGTGTCAGGAGCCTTTCAGCTCCTCCCCCCTTACACAAGGTTGTCTTGAGTTACCACCCAGAACCTCAGAGGAACATGATTGGAAAGCCTCTATGCATATAAAATTGACTAGGTATTATATAAATATATGTAAAATATATGTTACATATTATAGATATGTTTTGATAAGCCAGAATGTTTTTGTGCTCTGTGGGTATGTTAAATCTTACAAGTCTTAAAATCACCACCTGGGAGTCAAAGTCAGGATGAGTCTGCTAGGCTAACGATCCTCATCCAAGCAGGACTTACGCAGCCCTGAAAGAGGATAAGAAGGCCCACTGTTTGTGAATTTCATACTTATTTAACCGAGGCATAGACATTAGCTGTTGGGCCATACTTTATGTGCATGCACACATATTTCATTCTTTGAGCAATTCAAGGGGAAAAATACATTTCTAATACACAGCATACAACCTTCCAGCTGTATTAAGCAACTGATATGTGTTCTAGAATGTTCACATAATTAGCATTCTCTGAGCCCCTACAACATGATTTATTATCTCTAATTATCTGAACAAGGAAGCCGCTGGCTTGGATAACAATGGCTCATCATACCTTTTCACATTTTCTAGTAATCAGATGTAAACCTTTGATGGTCTACTCAGAAGTAGTGTCTGAAGTCTTCATAAGCCCCTCCATTTCTCATCCGGCTCCTAGAATCATCTTGCTTCCCATTAATACTGGATTTACCCATTTGTCTTTATTATAGCATACATGGCAGTGCCTGATGCGTAATAGGCACTTAGTAATATTTGTTGGATGAACAGACTGGTAGGTTGTCACTACTTTAAAAATCTTCCCCTGTAAGAAACAATTTCTTCTCGTACTTAAAGAGAAAAACAGGCACACAGTTGCACTGTCAAATGATGTTTTATATTAACAGGTAGATGGTTTTGAAGAGTAATCTGCTACTGTTCATTATATCTGCACCTGTACCTTCTCACCAGAGACAATTAGTTCCCCACAACTTTCACACAATTTATATAGTTCCAAATGCGCAGGTGTAAAATCCATTAGCAACTATCAAAAGTGGTAAACAAGAATTTCAGTGCAGAAGGAGGATTTTATCCTTCGCTTTTAATCACTAATAAATAGACTCACACAGTTGCACAGGCTTTCCCTCTCTGGGCTTGAGGTAAGTTTTGGAATTGTTGCAAATTAGCAAATACATTACCTGCATAGGTGAGCCAGTGGCCCCCATTCTGTGGCAAGCAACAAATTAAAAATTCAATTATGGCACAATTTGGGACCTTGTGAATTACATACTTACACGTAGGTAAACCTAGTAGAGATATGTTTCTCAATTTTAGGGAATTACCTCTCCAAAGTCTCCAGTAAATTTGTTTTATGTCACTGGCTGAGATGAAAACCTTCCCAGCTCCTTTCCAACAAGGCAGCCCCTTCTGTGCTCCTAAGTTTTGATTCTGTTTTCTCACGCGGCACATGATGATACAAACATGCTCAACCGCAGCCCAGAATGGTGTTTAATGGAGTCATTAGTGAGCGAATGATCTGCTCACGTGACAGCTGTGTGTAATGAGTCAGCAGTCTGAGGCCACTTCCTCAGGGACCGTTGTTGAGATCACAAAACCACCAGTGTTTAGAAATCTTTATTCTCCATAAACTGCCTGGATCTTAGTTCTCACTGCCTCTGTGTCCATCCGGATGGCCCATCCATTGAGAATGAAAGCACATTAATGGAGGCTACTTGTGAATGATTTGTTTTCAACTACATTAAAATGTTTCCATTTCCAGAACTAACAATCCAATACCTTTCAAATTCTTCCCAAGAGAAGGACAAGATCTTTTAAGAATGCTGGATTGTACTGGCATTTGATGAGTCTTTATTTCTTGTGTGTTTACACACACATCATCAGGTGAAATGATGCTATTTACCTATGTGTAGGGGGACCAGGATTTTAGACCTGTGCCTGATCTCTGAATTCCCTGGGCTCCGTGAAGTAAGAATTCTTTAAAGGTTAATTGTAATCTAAAGTCAGAGTCATCTGCTCGAGAAGCAGAACACACTTTACTTTTCAAGGCAAATGTAGGGAGAATTATTCTAAGAAATGAGCTGTAATTTGACAAAACCCTGGTATGTAGGATTAGCGATCCAACTTGAAATATTCTGAGAGAAATTTTATAGATTTTTATTGTTGCAGGCAAAATCTCTGCAGATTTTTATCAGAAATTCGATCCGTTGGGGTGCCTGGGTGGCTCAGGTCATGATTTCGACAGAGTCAAAATTTCAACTCAGGTCATGATCTCACACTTCATGGGATTGAATCCCGTATAAGGGCTCTGCACTGGGATTCTCTCTCCCTTCCTCTGCACCACTCCCCAAGTTGTGTATGCCCCTGTGTATGTGTGTGCGCGCGTACGTATGTACACGCGTCCTCACTCTCGCTCTCTCTCTCTCAAAATAAATAAACTTAAAAAAAAATTTTTTTAATTCAGTCTGTTAATGTAAATGAACTATCTACCAGTTTTAAGTTAGGTAATGTAAATGTCTATGCAAATAAATTCTGTTCTTATTTGTGATCTCTTTTGGTGTGCTTATGTTTGTCTTTGGAAGCTGTCTGGATTCCCTGATGAATAACTCTTGATTTTAAGATGTGCCCAAAACAATCCAATCTAAAAGTTTAACATGTAGAAACTCTACAGTTTTATATCCAACAGCCTTCTGATGATATCTGATTACTTTTGAGTTTTAAAAAAAAAAAAAAAAGAAATATATGGGGCACCTGGGTGGCTCAGTCTGTTAGGCATCCAACTCTTGATTTCAGCTCAGGTCATGATCTCCCAGTCCTGGGACTGAGCCTCGCATTGGGCTCTACACTGACAACACACAGCCTGCTTGGGATTCTCTATCTCCCTCTATCTCTGCCCTTCCTCTGCTCATACTTTCTCCCTCTCTCTCAAAAGAAATGTTCAAAATATATTTTTTAATTTTTTTAAGGTTTGTTTTTAAGAGACAGAGTATGAGTTGGGGAGTGGGAAGGGGAGAGGAAGACACAGAATCTAAAGCAGGCTCCAGGCTCTAAGCTGTCAGCACAGACTCCAGCATGGGGCTTGAACCCACAGACCACGAGATCATGACCTGAGCTGAGGTCGGATCCTTAACCAATTGAGCCACCCAGGCACCCCAAAAGAATTTTTTGGCTGGCACAGTTGGTAGAGCATGCAGCTCTTAATCTTAGTGTTGTAAGTTCGAGCCCCACATTGGCTATAGAGGTTACTTAAAAATTAAGTCTTTTTTAAAAAAATGAAATATGTAACAAACATAAATAAATCAAGTATATATTTAACAATTTGGAACCGCTCAGAGATCTGGGCACCTTGATCCCTATATATTCTGTAGCACTTTCCAGGGAAGAGGAAGGTGAGAAGCTTGAAGCCCATCTCCTGTATTCCTTTCGTACCCTGCCCCAAAGAGGAACCTCAGTCTGGTATTTCACTTCCTCCTGCTGCACAGATACAAATTTGGAGAGAGAAGGATATGAAAAGAGAGTAGCAGAGAGGGAGAGCCAGGGCAGGGCTCATTTGCATAAGCTCCTCACCCCAGGTCAGCCATCCAGCTTCATCAGGAGCTGGGGACCCTTTTTGTACCTGTGTCTTAGCTACAAGCCAGATTCTTGAAGCTCTTCCTCTTAAACTTTGTTTTTCTTTATTTTCTCCCCTTTCCTTTTCCTTCTCTTCAAGATATTCTAAAAGTAAAAGAATCAACATCACTATAATAGAAATCTACCCTCTGTGTTTCCAGTTGCCTCTGGGGAGCACAAGTTAGGAATCTGTAAGGCTTTCAGTAAGACTGACACATAATATTTCCCTGCACTAGGTGAAATACATGTCTGGAAAGTTCCATATTCATATGTGTGTGGTTAATTTTAGACCACTTGTCAACACACACACACACACACACAAACGCGCGCGCGCAGAAAAGAAAATTCGCATGCTCCAAAATTCTGCTTCCTTTATTATTTATGCTGGTAGATAACCACTTGTAACTGTCAGAGCCTCTGGGGGAAAATCATTCCTGTGTATTCCAAAGCAGACCTAAGTCGATGTTTTGTTATGTGTGGAAACTTTGAGACATGTTTTCAGAAGAAAAAAATAGCTTTCAAAAACTTACATCTTAGGAAACCATTCAGCCAGCAGCTGTTAAGTTGGTCTAATGTTTATACTGACCTGAGTACTTTTACTCTATGCATTATGTTAGCTGTTCCAAGAAGCCTTGAACCATCAAGATAGGGTTAGTCTTTACAAGTCACATTTTCTGTGAAGTGGCTATTGGGGACAATCGGCTGTCAGATAAATGCTTCTAAAGGAAGAATTAGTGTTTAAATGAATGTGCCTTCACACGCTGCAGAAGCCGAAGCGCCTGCTAATTTAAGAATGCAACTCTCTAGTATTCTCTAAAGAAAGCAAAAAAGAAAAAAAAAAAGAGGCTTTCAGGTTTATTTTAAATACATCTTTTTTATATTTACTTGAAGGCGTCTTTCTCATGAGGAAGCAGCGATAAAACTATGGGGAGTGAGTGCTGTTTCATTATACCTTTTATGGCCTATTAATTTGTTACCATCTATTCACCTTTGTTGATGAAATTTTAATTTTGCCCTTGCTTGAGCATATTGTAAGGATTGTATAAACTGCTACTCCCTGCGCTGACAAAAACGGCCCTTTTAGAGGGAACAATTGGGAGCTCATTTTATTTCTAGAGCACATTTAAAATAACTTATGAATGAGAGTTGTGAGACACGAAATGCTGTATTAATTAAATCTTTTTCTAGTCTTTTTGCTTGTCCAGCTAAACCACCCCTTTAGAAAAATACACGGCCACCTTCATTATGGAGAAGAAGACAAAAAGTACCCTTCACATTCCTCTGCCTGAATAAGAATAAGAACTCAATTCATCTCTATAATAACCCCATTAGCTGCTTAACTCAACAGTGCACATGGGAAAATTTTCAAACCACAATGTAAAAAGTGTTGATTGGGTGGATCATTTTCAAGGTTTTGTTCCTCTCGTGTTGCAAATGATCATTTTAAGTAAATCCGATATGTCCTAACCAGTCGCTTTAAAGCATTTCTGACTTAATGACAAAAGTTTTGTGTCCACATCAACTAACGCATCTTTGTCTTTTAACATCTAGCAACAATACCATTCGAAAATAGATGATTTGATTGACAACAACGTAAAAGAAATCATTTCACTGCTAGTTTCAAAGGTAATGTATTCCTTATTCACCTTTTTAAATCAAGCTCAAAGATATATTCTGCTGAGAAGTTTTAGAAATGTCTGTATTGTTTCAAATACCTAAGTGAGAAATCATGGTTTTAAAACAAGATGTAAGAACAGATAACAGATCAGATTTTAAGAAGGGTTCTGAACAAAACATGAACACTGTATGTCAACAACTGTTGATGTTTTTGTTTATAATTCATTTTGCCTTTTCTTGCAATTGTCGTCCTTTTAAAAATAACCCTGTCTTCCAGTAAGACCTTATTATTTCACATTCATGTTCTCTTACTATGTGTCTTGTCTGTTTGGATGATTTGAGTCGTCACCAGTCCTTGAATGTAGCCTGTTTGTTGTGGTGCCAGTGCTGAGGCTCTAGAGCTGGTCACAGGCAGACGGAGGAGGCTGGCCGCCTGGAGGCTGATGTTCTCCACTCCCAAGAAGGCTCCCACAATTTCCAATGTGATGCTCCAAATACCTTTGGTGAAGGCTCTGGCCTTTAATTGTAGAAGTCAAGATGAAGTGTAAATGAGTATTCCATTGAATGATTAGATGAACTGAAATCCCACTGAGGTGTAACAGCCTTCCATCCATGGGTGACGTTTGAGATCTGGGTCTGAAAGACACAGAAAAGGGAACCCAAGAGGGTGAGGAGTCCGAATGGACATGGTCCAGGGGCACATTCCCATGAGCAGATATAGCCCTTGCTCTTGCAAGACTCGATCAAAGAACCTCAAATCAGACTTCATAAAACATTCAGTTGGAAGAATGTACAAGAAGCAAAGGAAAAAAACACCCCCAATTTAATTAACCAAGGGCATGTTGTTTAGAAAATAGAGTGATGCCCAATAAGCATTAAAATTGTTAAACCTCACTGATAATTTAAAGAATGAAGAAAAACTTGGGGCGCCTGGGTGACTCCAGTCAGTTAAGCATGTGACTCTTGACTTTGGCTCAGGTCATGATCTCACTGTTTGTGAGTTCGAGCTCTGCATTTGGCTCTGCACTGTTAGTGGGATTCTGTCTCCTTCTCTCTCTGCCCCTCCCTCACTTGCTCTAAATAAATAAACAAATAATTTAATAGGGGCGCCTGGGTGGCTCAGTCAGTTAAGCGTCCGACTTGGGCTCAGGTCATGATCTCACAGTTCGTGGGTTCGAGCCCTGTGTCAGGCTGTGTGCTGACAGTTAGCTCAGAGCCTGGAGCCTCTTTCAGATTCTGTGTCTCCCTCTCTCTCTGTGCCTCCCCTGTTCGCGCTCTCCTCTGAAAAATATAAACATTAAAAAGTATTTTTAAATAAAAATAAATAAACTTAAAAGAGTGAAGAAAAACTATGATTAATATACTATTTTTTCTAACTCATTTTTAAGCCAACACTTGGTTTTAGAAAAAGGTGAGATGGGACACTCCTTTTTCCTGTCAATGGGAGTATAAATTGTTGCAACTTTTGTAGAGGTGGTTTGGGACATATGGAATGCTTTCATACCCTTCATCTAATAATTAATTTTGCATTTTTTTCTGCTAAGGGAGATGCACAAAATGTATATACGTTGATATGGTCACATTACATTTAATAAAAAATTGGAAACGACTTTAACCTCTAACATGAAGGGAAGGTAAATTATGGTACATCTATATTAAGAAACTATGCTTTCAGAGACTATTAATGATACAAGAAAGATCTCATAATATAGTATTAAGCAAAAATGAAAGCCTGATATTTTAGAAATGTAAAGTATGATATGAATTTGCATCATGTAGAGAAAAGACAGGATAAACACCAAGATATTGACAGAGCTTCTCTGGATGGTGAAATTATACTTGATATGGGGAGAGGAGTCTTCTTCAGGTTTGGAGGTTGGTTGTTTTTTATTGTTTTGTTTTGTTTCTGCTTTTTCCAAATTATTTGATAGCAAGTCTTTTTTTTTTAATTTTTTAAACATTTATTCATTTTTGAGAGACAGAGTTGGGGAGGGGCAGAGAGAGAGAAGGAGACAAAGAATCAAGCAGGCTCCAGGCTCTGAGCTGTCAGCACAAAGCCTGACTTGGGGCTCGAACTTATGAACTGTGAGATCATGACCTGAGCCAAAGTCGGACGCTCAACCAACTAAGCCACCCAGGTGCCCCACGGTAGCAAGTCTTAAGATAGAAAATAGCCACAAAGATGATTTTAGAAGAGCACTGCTCCTCCAGTTTCTTCTTGGGCTCCTGACTTCTACGGCAAGAATTGCCTACACCTCCGTGTACAACACGCACTCCCCAACAATAGGAAAGGGCAAAGGTTAACAGGGAAGCCATCCAGCAGGTGGGGGAGAGGTGACCACTGGAGAATGAGGCTCCAGGGGAAGGAGGGAGATTTCCGTCCTCCCAGGAGCCAAGCTCAGCGGCATGCAGAGCTCCACAGGCAGCCCACCAAAGTGAAACATACTTAATGTTGCACCTTCATGGTCTGTGATTCATCCAGGGACATTTTTACTCGGCTGGCATCACCCCATCTTCGCAGTTCTCCTGTGGAAGTTGTCTTTTGTGAGAAGGGGGCACAGTGGAAGTCATTAAATTGCATCAGGGCACCTGAGTGGCTCAGTGGGTTGAGCATCTGCCTCTTGATTTTGGTTCAGATCACAATCTCATTGTTTTGTGAGGTTGAGCCCCACGTGGGCTCTGCACTGACAGCCAGGAGCCTGCATGACAGTCTCCCTCTTTCTCTGTCTCTCTCTCTCTCTCTCTCTCATACACACACACACACACACACACACACACACACACTAAAACACTGAATAAGTAAAACTTAAAAACCGTAAATTGTGTGATAGCAAGCAGTTGGTAAAGGGTTAAATAGGCAGCAAGGAAAAGAGACTAGTTTGGATTTACCTGTTCGTGGGGGGCAATAGTGGGAGGGTAGGAAAAGAGACTAGTTTTCTGTTGGTGGGGGGTGGGGGGTGAGGGGTGAGGGTGGCAGAGGAGGCAGGCAGGGCTCCACATTCTTTTCTGCTAAAGTAAAAAACTGATTCTTTTTTTAATATCAAATGCATCTGTTAATTGAAAAGATAGTATGTTTGAATCAAGCAAGGAAACTGTTCTATGGATCAGTGCTATTCAGGAAGACTTTCTATGATAGAAAAATATTTGTCCACCACCCTCCCATATAGTAACTGTGAGTCACGTGTGGCTATGGAGCACCTGAATGTGACTGGTGCCACTAAGGAACTAAAATTTTAATTTTACTTAATTTTAATTAATTTTAATTTAACTAGCCTAATGTAACCAGCTGCTTTCTTTGGAGATCAGGTTTAGATTGGTTTTTTCTATGGATCATTTCTCCTACAGTCTAACAGTACTTACTAATAATCTTTAATTATTTGGTTGAAAATTATAATGTGGCTCAATAGATTGAACCAATCACCTTAAGCTCCCACAGGAGTGGACAATAAGTGGGGGTTTTCTTCTGTCATTAAGCAAAAACAGTAGTCTCTAATCCAGTTTTTAAATGTCAGCATGCCAAAAACTACCTGAGAGCTTGTTAAAATGTAGATTCCATACTCTGCTTTCCAACAATTCTGAGTCCGAAGCTTGAGAAGAGGAGCAGGAAGACTGGTACATATTTACCAGTCACCATGGTAATTTTTTTAAATATTTTATTTATTTTTGAGAGAGAGAGAGAGAGAGAGAGAGAGACAGCATGAGCAGGGGAGGGTCAGAGAGAGAGGGAGACACAGAATCTGAAGCAGGTTCCAGGCTCTGAGCTGTCAGCACAGAGCTGTCAGCACAGAGCCTGATGCGGGGCTCGAACCCACAAACTATGAGATCATGATCTGAGCTGAAGTTGGACACTTAACCGACTGAGCCACCCAGGTGCCCCCACCACGGTAATTTTGAGGTAGAGGTTCGGTGAGCCAGACTTTGAGAAACACTGCTCTGAGGAATCTCTATCCAGGCTATCCTGTGAAAGATCTATAAACTTCAGTATAGTATTTAAAAACAAAACAGCCTCTAAGATAGTGTGTTCACATCTGTTTTCTCTGAAGAAATGATATTTTAAAAGGAGGTATTTATGGGAATGCCTGAGTGGCTCAGACCCTAAATAAGTATCTGACTTCAGCTCAGGTCATGATTTCGTAGTTCGTGAGTTCAAGCCCCACATCAGGCTCTCAGCTGTGAACACAGAGCCTGCTTTTGATCCTCTGTCTCCCTCTCTCTGCCCCTCTCCCATATACTCTCTCTCTCAAAAGTAAACATTGAAAAAAGAGGCATTTTTGAAATACCTACTGTAAAATACCTGTGGGGTCGGTGGTCTTACCCTATTTCACAGGTAGGAACATAATCCTCAAAGGGAAAGAGTCAGGAATCAAACCTCTGAGCTTCAGATTCCTAATCCAATGTACCTGCAGATTCCAGATCAGGAAATAAGTGAAAAGCAAAAATACTCTAAAAATTAAAATATGCAACTTCTGGATTAACTATCTTTACCCAGTCACATTTCAAGAGTCATGTCCTAGACTTGTTTATTTTATCCTAGCATGTTAATTAACTCAATATGAAGTAAATGAAAAGAAAAAGGAATTCCTTGTGCTGTATTCCCAATGTTTCTTCCCATGTTTTAATTATTCTGTGCGTATTGATAAACATTTTTGCTACATCTGGATAAATTAGAATCCTCCCTTCTTATTACTTCCTCTCTTCAATTGCCTCCATATCCTTTTCTTATACTGCACATCTTCACAAATGATTCGAGAATCATCATACAGCACTCAGGAGTACTTGTCTCAAATACATGTCCATTTTACATACCTAGAGAAACGCTTGGCATCCCTTTTCTGTGTCCTTTCTCCACCTAGCACCTAAATGCTGGTATTGTTGAGTTTCCATCTTTAGTCTTCTTTTGAACTCACTTCACAAATTTCTGTGACTTTCACACCTCTGACTTTATATACTATTGATTCCTAACTCTGTGCCCAAGAGGCAGAGTGGAATCGTGATGAAAGCCCAGCTTC